GTGACTCAGGGAGGTGAGGTGGGGGTGAGGGTGGCAAGCAGGGACCTGCGCCGAGATGCCAGGCAACGACTTCTCCCTGCGTCTGGGTGGGGACAAATCAGCCCGTTTTTGGCTGGGACAAACAAGGGCCACCAAAAGGCATTGCCACCATGGCCCTGCCTGCATCCCCTGCCAAGGCTTGGGCCTGTGGGCTGTGCCTTTCTGGGGAGGAGCCGGGTGGGATGGCGAGGAGGGGAAAGAGAGGAACAGGGACTGCCACCTGTGCAAACCCCACGGGGCGTTGGGCAATAAGGAAGCGAAAGAAATGACCGAAAAAAACCCCAAGGCAGCAACGTCAGGATGTTGCATCAGCGCGGCCGGGAGATGCTCTGCAGAGCACTTCCCCCTGCCATGCAAACCAGAAATGGCTTGGCCAGAAACGTCCCAGCTGGTCTGTCCCCAAAGGGGGGCAGGGAGGGGACAGGGAGGCGTTAGGAGACCCATCCTCTGCAGGGAGCACCCGGCAGTGGTGCCGCTGGGTGACTTGCTGGGAGCCCCCCAGTGCGACGTGCCAGGCCTGGGGACATCTGGGCAGGAGCCATCTGGGGGGAAAATAATGGGAAATTGGGGAAGGGGATTGTTACCACGCTTGGAGTGACCTGCGGCCGAGGTGTCGTGAAGCACACATCTCACACGCATCGGCGTTTAGTCCTGTGTGTGGGAGAAGCAGGAGAAGCAGAATGTCCATGCTCAGATGGACCTGGAGGCTCTGTATCAAATGTGCCCGAGGTTCCTGCCCTGCTGTCAGAAAAGACCAAGGCATGGTGGAAAACTACTCCTGCCCGAATCCTGACCCACAGGCGAGAGCAGCGGGTCTGGGGTCTCTCTCTCTCTGGAGCACGGAGGGACGTGGTGCCTGCGTTCCCACTCCCATCTCTCCGCCCCAGTGCCACTTCAGAGATGCCCCCGTTCACCAGGTGTTGAGATTGAATTTACTCTTTGCATTTCTTCCATGGTTTGGTGGTTATTCCTCCGTCCTGCCTGTGCTGGCTCACGCACCATCCCTCCCTGTTACACCACGAAATCCTCCAGGGTGGGATCCATCCCCCGCAGCTCGGGACCAGGAGAGGTCCTGCTGGTCGGAAGGCTGGGAGGTGGCTGCTGGCAGGACAGGTGTCCCCATCCCTGGACATGGAGACACTCTGCAGGACCCGGCGGGGAGGAGATCTGAGCAGCATTGGGCTTCGTTAGAAACCAAAGTCAAGGTCCCGGGGCCTTTTGGAAGAGGATTTTCAGAGGCAAGCTCAGCCCCGCTTCCCTCGGCCTTGGAAGTAGGACTTTTTCTCAGATAATTCAAGTATGTTTGGAAGAGGGCATTTCCTTTCAGGGCAGCTGCATTTTTTTCCCCCCAGAGATGTTGATGCACAAACCTGGGTGCCAGTGGGGCTGTGACATGTGGCATGAGCCATCCCACTGCGGGAGAGCTGATGGAGCCAGGGGGCTGCCTGCTCCCTGGGGAGAAGAGTCCTGTGGGGCTTGACCTGCCCCGCTCACCAGGCACCCTCCATGCCCAGGTGGGACACACAGGTGGACAGAGTCAGCTTTACGAGATGTGCTGGGGATGGATGGAGTTGAGAAATGGCTTTTCAGGTGGGTCCCCACCTGTGGAGGGGCTCCAGGAGCCTGGCACCAGCTGTGGTGACTTTTCAGAGGCAGCATCACAAGGATGCTGAGGGTGAAAGATTCTGGTTCTCACAACCTGGTGTCATAAAACCCCCACACTCCCATCCCAGGGCTGCGGTCCAAGGTTTCCTTCTACTCCCAACACATCAACTCCTGCCTGAAAGGTCTCAATCTGTGTTCTCCTGGAGTTTTTGCCCATTGGTGACTCTTCACAAGCCCCACGTTCGGGTGTGGGGACCCTCTGGGTTGTCTCGAGTTGCTCCCACAGGCGGGCAGCTGGGTTTGTGTCCCCACAGCCCATCCAGGACCCTGTCCCCTCCATCCCTTTATCTCCCGGTCTCTTGGAACACAGCCTGGGGGAAAAGCCCCACGCGGAGGGGACACATCCTGCCCCAGCCCTCGCCACCGTTTTGGACCCTGCCATGTCAGGGTCCAAAGTCTCAGCCATTGGAATGGGCTGCCCAGGGAGGTGGTTGAGGCCCCATCCCTGGAGGTGTTCAAAAGACGGGTTGATGTAGTGCTGGGAGGTATGGTTTAGTGATGGTGTTGCTTTTTGTTTGTTGTGTGGGTGTCTATTTTTTGTCAGTTAGGTTGACGGTTGGACAAGATGATCTTTAAGGTCCCTTCCAACCTAGAAGATTCTGTGATTCTGTGATTCTATGTCCTGCTGTCTCACTCAGGGTGTCCCATGGTGACAGCAGCCGGTGCCGGGGCTGGCTGCCTGCGGCGCTGCCGTTCCCGGTGCGAACGGCAGAGGCCAGGCCACGGCCACGCTCGGTGGAGGAAGCTGTTTCCCAGCGGCAGCAGAGGATGCTCAGCCTCTGCCATCACTCCCGTCCCTCTCACCTCCATCTCACCAGCCTCCACTGCCCCACTCGCCCATCCCTGGCACAGCCGTCACCCCCTGCCACCCCTCCCTCGGGGACATGGGGCACCCCGGGACCACACAAAGACAGGGGAGGTATTTCCAGTTTTTCCCATCAATCAGGCAAACTGGGATTCCAGGGCTGGTTCCGTGAGGGCAGAGCAGATGGAAAAGCCCCCCCAACCCCACCAGAGCCTTTCCTGCTGGTGGCAGCGGTGCCACCCATCTGTGCAGCAGACGGAGCTTGTCACAGCATCCTCACCATCCCAGCCCTGCTGCCCCCCTGCCCAGGCCGTCGAGGGGCTGGGAGGTGGGGAGCAGCACCCATCGCCCACCCATGTTGTCATCTCCACCTGCCCCGTGCTCCATCACCTTTGCAAACACAGGGATGCTCCTGCTCACCTCCACATCCACAGCCTGGGGAGCTGGGGGGACCCCAACTCCCACCCTCAGAGGCACTGTCACCCCCAGATCCTGACCGAGCCACCCTCGCAGCTCACAGACCCCTCCAGACACAGATATTAGTGGGAAATTTGTGTTTTTACCCTCTTCAGGCCCTGTTCCTCCCCCCCCTCTCCCTCCCTCCTCCACCAGCCTGTGATGGGAAAGCACGGAGAACTAGGACAATATCAAATGCAATCAAAAGCAGGCTGGTGGGAGTTTGTCTTTTGGGGTTTCCTTCTCTTTTATTGCGTTCCCAAAGAATAAACATTTGGGAGGGCCCTGGGGTGATTTAGTGGAGCAGGAAAGGGCAGGAGGCTGGGAGCCGCCTGCTCCCTTTGGCAAATCTCGCCGGACGACACTCCGGCCTTGGGGATTTTCCTTCCAGTAGAAATGCTTGCCCAGTCAGACGATCAGGCTGGGAATAGCCTGGCTCGATGGGGAGGCTGCTTTTGCCCCCCAGCACTGGGGCTGGGGTCAGCGGGAGCTGCTGGGATGGGGGACGGGGAGGAGGAGGAGGAGAGGTTGAAGCGGGTGACTCCGCAGCGGCACGGAGGAAGCGGTGACCTTTGAGAAGCAATCTTCCTCGCCTGCTGCTATTTATCCAGCCTTCCCCAGCGGCTCCTTCTGCAGAGCCAGAGCCCGTGTGCTCAGGCCAGGCTGGGAGATGCTGGGCTGCCCTGGTGCTGAGCCACGGCTGCCTCCACTCCAGGGGTGATTTTGGTTTGTGGAGCTGAAGGCAACGTTTCCTGCTGGAACAGCAGCCCTGCAAGGGGATGGACCTTCCTGCCCGCTGGGTGTCCTTGGGCAGGGGAGGTCCCTTTGTCCATGAGCATCCCCCTTGCCTTGCCTGCCTCCCCCCCATCATTTCTTGGGCTGTGGGATGAGCTGTGCCCGGGCTCGGTGGGTCGGTGCTCAGTTGAGCGGAGGCTGCAGCATGGTGTTTACCTGCACAGCCTTCTGTATTCACCTTCTGAGAGGTGACATGCCCACTGCCAGCACTGAGCCAAGCTGCAGCCAGTGGCTGGGCTGGTGGGGGGAGCAGAGCTCCAGCCTGACCTCCATGCGCCATGGCCCTCCATCAGCCTCCCCCCCATCCCCTTTTAGCCATGGAAGGGCTAAGACTTCAGCATCCCTGGCTGCAGGACCCCCGGGGAGATGGGTGCTTGGTAGAGGGCAAGGATGGGCTGCCAAAAGTGCTGTTTCCCCAGCACATCCTTGTCATCTGCATCTCTGCTGGCCCCCTCCCTCCATAGGCACCCCAGCATTTGCAGGCACCTCTCTCTGTCTTCACCCCGACCCCTCTGCCAGCCTCTGGTCCCAGAGTGGCACGGGTGGGTTTGTGTGGAGGGGAGGGATGGCCGCTGTCTCACTGACCCCTCGCCCATCCATCACCACTAGGGTTATTTTAAATCAGGTTGCTGAAGCTGACGATGCCATTTCCAGGACCTGCTCCCTGCCTTTTGCACCTCCTCGTCACCCGCAGCACCGGTGCGGATGTCACCCCCTGCCCTGGCAGAGGCAGGTCAGGGATGCTCTGGGAAAAGGGACAGAAAACAGCTCAGTGGGAAGTGCCTGGGCACATCCTGGCAGTGAGCAGTGGGCACAGGAAGGGGACAGGCAGGGCAGCCAGCCCCAGACCCAGGGAACGGTGGCAGCACCCCAGGACACGCGTCCCAGGCACCACCAAGACCTCAAAACACTTCTATAGGATGCAGGTATATATCAAATATATTGTTAAATCCTGAGTATAATCATAATTTGCTGGTAGCAGAACCCCGAGTGATGCCCAGCTCTTGGCAGACAGAGGAGACATGGGCTTTCTTAAGTTTAAAGCAAACCAATTTACCTGCCCGAGCGCTGCTGGGCTTTTTGTCAAGCCAATTTCTGCCTCTACCAAGAAACAATCGAATAAGTATTTGTAGTTATTCACTGAAATGTCTAAAGAAAGTAAATGAAAATCACATTATTGCTTAGAAAAGTATCCCCAAAACAAATCCCCCTGCTATATAAATATAAAACCACAACAACGTGGCAGAGCCCGATGATGATTTTATTTCAGGAGCTATTTGGAACATCAGTCTCAAAACTGATCAAACATGAAGAACAGCGTCTGCGGGGTGGTTTTCTAAAGCTTTCCTTTAAAGCAAACGTACTTGTCAATGAATAAAGAGGGTTTGTAGGAAACAGCAGTAGGTGTCCCATAAAAAACAAAAAAAGGATTTGTAATAAGCAGGCTGTCCTGGCTGTGTGGGGACGGGAACCCTCCCAGCAGCAAAGCTGTTCAGTTCGGGTGACCTCGTCGTGTTCAACACGCCGAGCAATGGGAATGTGCTTTTTTGCTGGTTTATTCCCCAAAAGGGAGGGGAGCGGGTGCTTGTCAGTGTGGGGGGGTGGCGGTTGCCCCCGAGGTCCCAGGCGAATGTGCAGGGACCCAGCAGTGGGGGGAAGGCGAGGGGGGCTCCTCTCTCTCGGGCTCGGTGCCGGGGTTCAGGTGTCCGGGAGCACCCCGGTGCCTTCGGTGCTGCTGCCTCCGCCGGGGGGGTCCTGCAAAACCAGAGGGCAATTTGGCTGCGGGTCGTGGCCCTGACCAACCCCCCCGGATCCCATCCCCAACCACCCCTGGATCCCTGGCCAAGCACTTTTGGGCACCATGGGGCGAGCTCCTGCGCACGGGGGAAATCACAGAATCATAGAATTGTCTAGGTTGACACGGGGGAAATCATAGAATCGTCTAGGTTGGAAGAGACCCTTGGGATCATCGAGTCCAACCATCTCCCCTACTCTACAAAGTCCTCCCCTACACCACATCCCTCAGTACCGCATCTAAACGGCCCTTAAACACAGCCAGGGATGGTGACTCCACCCCCTCCCTGGGCAGCCTGTTCCAATGCCCGACCACTCTTTCGGTGAAAAATTCCTTCCTAATGTTCAATCTAAACCTACCCTGTTGGAGCTTGAAGCCATTCCCTCTCGTTCTGTCACTAATTACCTGTGAGAAGAGACCAGCATCAACCTCTCTACAGTGTCCTTTCACGAAGTTGTAGAGAGGGATGAGGTCTCCCCTCAGCCTCCTCTTCCTCAGACTAAACAGTCCCAACTCCCTCAGCCGCTCCTCATACGATTTGTTTTCCAGCCCCCTCACCAGCTTCGTTGCCCTCCTCTGCACTCGCTCCAGCCCCTCCAGATCTCTCTTGTATTGAGGTGCCCCAAACTGGACACAATACTCGAGGTGTGGCCTCCCCAGTGCTGAGTACAGGGGCACAATCACCTCCCTACTTCTGCTGGTCACACTATTTTTGATACAAGCCAGAATGCCATTGGCTTTCTTGCCCCCCTGGGCACACGGCCGGCTCATATTCAGCCCTTTGTCAACTAGAACCCCCAGGTCTCTTTCTTCCAGGCAGCTCCAGCCACACTTCCCCGAGCCTGTAGCGCTGCAGGGGGTTATTGTGGCCCAAGTACAGGACCAAGTGCAGGGAAAATGTGGTTTTCCCAATCATTCCCACTCCCTCAGCTCCCAGGGGGGAGGAAGAGGAGGAGGAGGCAGCTTGCCCCCCCTGGGAGCCATCCTCCTCCTGGTCCTCTCCCCCATCCTCCCTCCGCCCTCGGCTCTGCTCTCTCTCAAAAGCGCCTGAGAGAAGAGAAACCTGGCTGTAAATTAGCCGGGAGGATTTTTCAATCCGAGATGTGCACTTCCCCCCCCCCGCCCCCCAGCAGCACCGCTGGTATTTCATCCCTTGGCCGCCAAACTCCGGGGAATTAATCCCGGCCGGCGCTGACAGCGTTTACATTCAGCGCTGCTCAGATAAACCATATCAGCCAGCACAGCTGAAGAGGAGCCGGGCGCGGAAGGAAGGGCCGGCTCCTGCTCAGTGTCAGCCCCACCGGGGTGGGATGATATTTTCCTGTCTTTTTTTTATTTTATTTTTTTTTCCCCCCAGGGGTTTTGCTCTGAGCAAGGAGCCGCCGCAAACCCTCCACAGCTGAGGGTGGCCTTAGGGTGGTTCATACAGCCAGGAGCTTCTGGCTCTTAACTCTGTGGAGACAATGGAGAAGAAGGGACGTGTCCTTCAATGGAGAAGAAGAAAGGACCTGTCCTTCAAGCCGGTGGGAGCCTGTGAGCTCGGTCTCCCGAGGTTTCTTGCCCTGTGCCACCCAGCACACAAGGGAGGGCTTCTCCTCACTGCCAGCTCCCACAGGATGGGTTTCAATAGGTATTTGCACAGCACAATTATTGCATATTCTCTCTTTTAATCTCCCCCTTGCAGATGTATTTCTGCCAGTCCCTTGCAGTAGCCTCCTGGCTCTCCCCTTGGCTGTCACTGGGTGCCAGTGGGATATGGAGGTGCCACCACTGAGCCAAACCTGCACAGGGCTCATGAAACCATAATTCCCCTCTCCCCAGCCCCTAAAGCATCCCTGGGACCACCGAGGTGGTGTCTAAGAGCAGGATCTCCTCCAGCTCCCTCAGTTGAGGGTTGTCTCCTGGAAAACAGCATCCCCGGGCTGTGACACTTGGAAACAGGGTGGGTGTAGCCCCCCCACCATGGGGACAGGAGGGTGTGAGCCCATCACCCAAGCATCTGGGCCAGTGTTTCAGTATATGGTCAGCCTCATCCTCCCACCCTGTCTCCTTTCCCCCCAGAGCTTGCAGAGCACTGGTGTGGCCACAGGGTCCAGGTCACGGTGCGATCGTCACAGCCGCCCCAAAGTGACGGGATCTGGGGGTAAATATTAGTACAAAGCGAAGGGCTGTGTACATATTTTCTCCCTGCAAGGTAATGCTGAAATTCCCCACTCCTTTTCCACAAGCTGTTGGAAAAACCAGTCCCGTGTCAGCGCCCTCCGGCCACCGCTGGTTCTGGGTAGTCCCAGCCCAGCCTGCAAAGGTCTAAGAGCTTCAGGTCCCCACTGTGACCTCCCCACTCCTGAGCCCTTTTTTGCTTGTGGTTTCCAAGCCAACGTTTCCCATCTGGAGCACAGCAGCGTGCGGGCTCTGCTGACCATGTGCTTCCCCCTGGAAGTGTACACAGGATGTGGTGGAGACTCCTGGGATGGCTTATTAATTGCATTAACAGCACCAAGCGGTTTCCACCCCCCCGGCAAAGAAGAAGCAGTGGGACAAGACAGATTGAAGCAGGCAGCTATTTCCCTCCCCACATGGGTTGGCCTTTGGTTCCCTTCTGCGTGGCCGTGGCTGGTTGGGCTTGCCTTGTCCAAGCTGTAGGGGGAGAAATAGGCTCCCCTTGCATGGACACCCCGTCCCTGTAGCTTGGGGACCCTGGACCAGCTCAGGTGCCTGCCCACGCAAGAGCTACCCCACCATGTGCAGGGCTGGAGAACATCATCTTTGCCCTCAGCCCAAGAGGAGACAAGCCAACACCAGGCTCCCCAGGACCCTGGGCAGCCTCCAAGGCACTAATTTCTGCCCTCCTCCCTCTCAGACCCCACTGAGCCCCCCCACAGCCTCGGACATGGGTCCTAAACTGGGATTGCTCCCCTGCATGTGGCCAGGTGCTGGTGGTTTCTACCATCCTGGTGGGATGAGCTTTCCCTTCCCTGAAAGTCCATTCCAACTTCTGCTGGTGTACTTGGCATCAGCAGAGAGGAGCACAACAGAAAGGATTGCTTGGATATTTTTTTTCCAAGATTTGCATCCCAAGGAAATGGGGCCTATGGGACTGTAACATGTGTCTGTCTGTCCATCCGCCCTCTGCCAACAACTTGGGAAAGGCTGGCCAGCATCAATCAAGTTTGACAGAGGTCTCGAGTGCATCACGGGCCTGTTTTGCAAAAGAGGGAGCTGGAAAGACCCACAGAGGGAAACCACAGTGTGACCCAACCGTGCTGGGACCCGTCCCACGCCAACGTGATTCAGCCACAGCGTGAGGCACAGGAGGAGCCGTGTGGGACAGAGCCACGGAGAACTTGGCTGCTGCTGCTCAGGGAGATGTTTGTTATTTTTAAGGGCTGGGAACTCTCTCACAGTCCTCGGAGGTCGTGGTTGCTGCATCTTGTGGCCATCATCTCCACTGGCTTAATGGCCAGCTCTGCCCCACTGCCTCCTGCAGCAGAGAGGAGCCTTCATCTCGGTGCCTGCCCAGATTTGTGTGCCATGGAGGCTGTGAATCAGGTTTTGGACATCTGTTAAGGAAAGTCCCTGGCCGATCCCATACAGCTCATCCTCCCTGTGTGCATTTTGGGCTGGTGAAGGCATGGGAATGGCTCCTGATTCCAGGGGAACCCCCAGAGGTTGGCACAATGTACCAGGAAGCCAAGGGAAGAGCCTGGAGGAGGAGCAGACCTTCCCCTTCTCACTTGATCCCGACACTAAAATGCTCATCTCCTCCCTTTGCCGCTGCTTTCCAGCCACAGAGCTCCCTCCCCAGCACCCCAGAGCCAGCAGGACCTCACAAACCCATCTAGCCCCAGGACAGCCCCCCACAGCCCTCCCTCCCCACCCCCAAAACCTCGCAGCCACCCCACCGGAAAGAAACCAAGAAGAGCTGGAGGGGGGTTTGATCGATTTATCCACTGAAGATACAAGTTTGGGTTTAATAACACCATTCTGTCCGGTTACAAACATACTAAAAACCTACAAAAAAGAAAAACGAGTTACAGCCATCGTACACGGAACGGCATGTATAAAACCAGCACGGAAGCGCCGAGGAACACGTACATGAACAGTATCCGCAGCAGCAACAGGAAAGACACGGAGTTACATCAGACCACGCCGGCTCATGTCTGTGGGTCACGGTGGGACTGGTTAAGACATACTAACAATTAGAGACAGCTTTAGCTATGGAAAATAATTAGCGTGGCAGTCTGTTAAATAGGTCAGACCCAGGCGGGTTAGTTTTATCCCTCCCTTTCTGTCCGTTGGCCCATGGGTTTCCCTTCCACCCATCCCAGCGCTGGCCCCGAGTGGTCCTTGCACCGATATCGGTGCACCAGGGCAGCTTCCCCACAGCAAGGGGCAAGGAAAGGCTGAGATCTGGCACCAGGGGCCAACCAGCCCAAATCTGGTCCCCACTGAAGTCACTTTACTGAAAAGCAGGGAGAGGCTGGGATCCCCCTTACTGGGGCAAACTGGCAGAGATGCGAGAGGAGTCCCCTGGGGCTCACCTGCCTCGGGGATTTGTCTCGCCATAAGAGAAGACAAAGGTGGTGGCACAAGGTCCTTGGGGGTTCCTTGCCCGAATGGCTCTGGGGTGTCTCTCTGGCTGGCCGGGTGTATATGGAGCTGATCATGAGCACTGGCCACAGTGGGGGGGGGGGAGCAGGGTCTGTGTCCCAACCCATCCCAACCCAACACTTCCCATCCCAACCTAACACTTCCCATCCCCTCCAGCACTGAGCTCCCTCTGACCAAGGGCAGTGTTGAACTCGGGGTGGGGGGGACACAAGCTGGTTGATGTGAGCGGGTGTCCCCAGAGAGAGCCAGGATGAGGTGCTTGGGGTGGAACCCTTCCCCTGGGATGCCAATTCTCCCCCTCACTCACCATTAATCTGCAGGGGACACAAGGACTTTCCCACCCTGGTCACAGGTCCGAGCCCAGCCCTGGTGCTCATGCTGAAGCACTGGCTGAGCTGGGGGCCAGATCCTGCCCTGTTTCCAAGGCAGGAGCAGCTCCCAGCTGGGCTTGGGTGGCTTGCATGGGGGTGGCCACGATGGCACGGGCACCAGACAGGAGCAGAGCAAGGAGGAGCAGCCCTGCAGCATCCCTGGGGCAGGAAAATGGGGCTGGGGGACACAGAGGTCCCCCCCAGGACAGGGTAGAGACCAGCCAGTCCCATGGCTGGAGCCCCCAGCTTCTTCCTCCTGAATTTTGGGGGGGATCACTTTGCAGGTGGGTCCCTACTTGCCACTGCCAAGGAGAGTGGAGCTGAGCCCGAAGCAGGCATGGGCAGTGCCCATATCTCAGCCCAAGAGCGCTGGGAGGTGAAATGTCGTGCCCCAGTGAGCAGAAGCTGAAGAGAAGGAGGAATAATGGGGGACAATAATGGGGGACAAGGGGGTCCCCAGCCGGCTGCGGTGGGTTCTGGGGGTGGGGGGTGACAGGGAGCAGCTGTGCCTTCGTGTGCACCAGAGAGCCACGCTCAGAGCCAGGACCCGGCCTCCCTTTCTGCTCTTCCACATGGCATTTATCAGCCCCGTCACTCTGGAATGGTATGTTTTCCTTTTTCTGTTCCTTTTCATCTCTCCCCAGATGAGATTTTCCCCCGATTTAAGCAATGCCTGCTCTGCTGCGGGCGGCGAAGAGGGGGCGTTCGTTTTCTTTCCATCTCTTCCCCCCATGAGCTCTGCCCCGGCCGCCCTCCCTGCTTCATTTTACTTCCTACAGAGCTGGTAAAAATAAACATGTTTTCGTTTGCATATATTGGGCTGGCCTGCAATTTTTTTGGCTGGTGGGGGGAGCTCCTCGAGGGACGGCAGCTGCACGCATCTGGATTCGCTTTAGAAAAATGTGCCTGGAAAAATAAAAAAAAAAAAAACCCAAGCCCAGCACACACACGCGTGGGAGCACAAGGTCACGGGCCAATTTTTTCTAGGGATGCAAAAAAAAAAAAAGAAGAAGAAACCAAGCCCTGTTGAAAAGGGAGATGAGGGGACACCAAAGCCAAGGCACTCGGGTGGGTCAGGCGTGAGCACGAGGACTTTCCAGCCACCCCAAGATCACTGCCCTGGTGATCGCGACCAAGCCCAGTTTTGGTTGTGGGGAGGGTGAGGAAGGGTTTGCACTGGAAAGTCAAAATTCCCACCTGGAGAATATTAACCTCAAAGTTATTGTGTGAACTTTGTCTAAAGACGAAACATCCCTGTACGGAAACATCCCTGGCCCAGCATCCGCAGAGCACAGGGAGTACATGAACTCATCGAAAATATGCGCCGCTGGCCCCGAGGTTTTGGCAGAAATCGGGGAAGCTCATGAGAGTCCCATGATGTACCCAAAAAAAAAAAAAAAAAATTAAGAAAATCTAACAGTCTTTCTCCAGCATCACACTGGAGCGAAGTCAATGGCTGGACAGGTCTTTTCCCACCTGCATGGACCTAATCCTGGCACCGACCAGCAGCCGATGTCTGAGAGATGCCTCCACCAACGGCGCAAGGGAAGAGGAGCTGCTTCACCATTTGGAAGCATCAGGTGCTGGCACCTTCACGGGTACAGGCTGGTGGGGTGAATTCTGGGGGCGCTGACCTAGAATGGGGTGACAGCCCACCCCATCAGCGAAGCAGCATCACTTGTCACCCTGTTCCTGTCCTTTCCTTTCATAAAGCCCTCGCCTCTCACACTGCCCTGCCAAGGACGGTGCCCTGGGTGGTTATTTCCACCCAACCCTCTGTGTACACCCAGGACATGCCATTGCTCCTCTCCACATATTTTACCACAGGACATAGGAAGGAAAGAACTGCAAGGCCAGAGAGTGGCTGTAGTGGCATTAGTGGTGCCCTCGGGCTATTTTGGAATTATCCAGGACTCTGCAGGAAGGTGAAGGAGCTCTGGGGAACACAATCAAGGGGCTTAGAGCCCTCCCTAGATCCCTCTTTGCCCAGAGCCAGGGCACTGGGTGATGGCACAAACTCCAGGCTGCATCTCACCAAGCCCAGAGGAACAGGAGAAGACATTTCCAACAGTCATCCCCAGGGTCACTGCCCAAGCATGGGCTGTGCCAACCTCTGTGCATGAGCGATGGAAGGAGCAGGGCTGGGGTTTGCCCCTCCATAGAGGCTTCCACAGATCCTGAGCAGAAACCTGCTGTAACAGCCAGCAGAGCAGAGGGAAAAACCCCACTGAGAGGAGCAGGCACCCAGTGCTGGCCACCCTGACAGTGCCCGGGCTGGGGAGCCCCTGGGCATGGAAGCAAAACACCAGAAATGGGGAAAAAAAAATAATCCTATTCCCTGGGGATGATTAGAAGCAGAGATGAACTGGCTGCGGGTGAGTGAAGAAGCAGGAGTTTCTGGCTGGCTGCTCCGGAGGAGGGAGGGCAGCCCCAGGGAGAGTTACTGCTGCCCCAGTGTCCCCATGCGGAGGAAGGGATGTCCCCAGGGCAGCTGTGGGGATCCCAGCCAGGACTGTGGGCTCCCTGCCTGTCAAATCGACATCCAGGACAGGAGCTGGTCTCCCCAGGAAAGCTGCCAGCTCCTGAGGGCAGCAGTGGAGTGAGGCCAGAGGAGATCTCAGAGGGGAACCCCTTCTCCAACTTCGATAGGTAACGTTGCCGTTAACATCAGAGCTTTAAAAACAACAGAGACATTTTGGGAAACACTGGCTGGCGAGGATGCCAAAGCTTCCTAGCACACCTGATGCTGCTTCATCCTCAACCCTTTGGGAATCAGTCCCCAGAGCATCCTATAAATCCAAACAGACGTGTGCAGGAGGCAACGGGGCTGCTCCTCCTCCCTTGTTTTTTGTAACCGAAGGGGAAACTGAGGCAGCAAAGCCAAGCACCCACAGCTTCAGGAGGAGTTGGTGTTGGAGGCAAGCTGAGTGCTGCGATGCCAGCAGCCACCTCTTGTTTTTTTGGGGGAGGGCCCTTTGCCAGGCACAGATGGGGGTGCTGCCAGCCCCCGAGGAGGGGGACAGGTCCTGCACGGGATGATTGCTACCAGGCACTTTATTTGAAGGAGCCCAGTTTCGCCAAGAGGGCAGGAAAATGCTCTACGTAACAAGGTTATTTTGTAAATTTAACAGAGCAGGGACCTTTCTTCACGCCCGGGAATCCCTCCTCCTACATCTACTTTGTCTTTCCCTCTCCTGATCACAGCCACAGCCTGAACCCCCCTTCTCCCCAGGTGGGCAGAGCTGCCCCAGCCCTGCTGCTGGCTGCCGGATGGACAGACCGATGCACACCAGCTCCCAGGGTGATGGCACAACATGTGCCACCCAACCCCATCCTCCTGCCCAGGGGAGCTGAAGGGAGGCAGGTGGGCTCACCAGCTCCCTGCATCTGGCACAGGGATCCCACCTACACGCCGTGCTCCGAGCCATGGGGGAGGCAGCCCAAAGGCATCCCCCCTCCTTTCCCAATCTCTAAGGCTGGAGGAGAACATCTGTCCCACCAGCCCCAAGAGGGTTTGCAACAACCAGCCAAGGAGAGGGTTTGGGGATGATGAGACGGGTGATGGCTGCTGCTGGCCCACGGTGGAGGGTGATGGACAGCTGAGAGCAGCTCAGCCATCAGCCCTGCCACCCTGCCAGGTGAGCAGAGAAAGTGCAAAGCAAAGCGTTTTCGGTGCCAGCCGGCGGTCTCCATAAGCATCGTGCCCCCAAAAGCGAGGAGCCAGGTTTACCCGGGGGCTTCACGTGGAAGATGAGGGCCGTGTCGTTCATCAGTGAACAGGGCTGCACCTCTCTGCTGCACAGCAGAGCCTGTGCAAGGGACTTGGAGATGGCGCAAGCGAGGTGCAGGATTTGGGAGGTGGTGATGGACAGGCCAGGACAGTAAGATGGAGCCAACAACCAACACTCTCCCCTCGAGCTCTGCATCCCCTTCCAGCGTCCCCTGCCAACTGCTTCACCCCGACCCACCCACACCCTTCGTGGTTCTATTTATTTGGCTTGTTTAGTTTGTTTTTAAACCCCGTGGAGATCAAATTGTGACTTGGCAGCTAACAGAGCTGGCCCTACCGGGCTCCCCAGACTGAGCGAAGATCTTGAGAAGAGACCAGAGTGAAGTCCTGGGGTGAGCGAAGCCCTCCCTGCCCCTCGCCCGGCCCCGCTGGCCGCTCACAGGGTGGCGGTGGGGTACTGCGCCCAGCCCACCTCCTTGTACGCCGCCGTCACGTGGGTGTAGATGAGGGTCCTCATCTTGGTCCAGGCACTGTGCGCCTCCGGGGTGAAGTCGTTGGCGTATTCCTCAGCGATGACCTCCAGCATGACACCAGTGAGTTTCTGGAGGGAGGCAGGCAGCAAGGGGTTAATAATCACAGAATCACAGAATCTTCTAGGTTGGAAGGGACCTTAAAGATCATCTTGTCCAACCGTCAACCTCACTGACAAAAATAGACACCCACACAACAAACAAGGAGCATCATCACTAAACCATCCCTCCCAGCACTACATCAACCCGTCTTTTGAACACCTCCAGGGATGGGGCCTCAACCCCCTCCCTGGGCGCCCATTCCAATGGCTGAGAACCCTTTCAGTGAAAAAATTTTTCCTAATATCCAGCCTGAACCTCCCCTGGCGCTACTTGAGGCCATTTCCTCTTGTCCTGTCGCCTGTGACTTGAGAAAAGAGACCGGCCCCCACCTCTCTACACCCTCCTTTCAGGTAGTTGTAGAGAGCAATAAGGTCTCCCCTCAGCCTCCTCTTCTCCAGGCTGAATAACCCCAGCTCCCTCAGCCTCTCCTCATAAGACTTATTAATCTCCAGAGATCGGCTAACAGCAAATTTAGCTTTTTCCCCAGAGCATCCTATAAATCCAAACAGACGTGTGCAGGAGGCAACGGGGCTGCTCCTCCTCCCTTGTTTTTTGTAACCGAAGGGGAAACTGAGGCAGCAAAGCCAAGCACCCACAGCTTCAGGAGGAGTTGGTGTTGGAGGCAAGCTGAGTGCTGCGATGCCAGCAGCCACCTCTTGTTTTTTTGGGGGAGGGCCCTTACACAGCTCCTGCATGGGATGATTGCTACCAGGCACTTTATTTGAAGGAGCCCAGTTTCGCCAAGAGGGCAGGAAAATGCTCTACGTAACAAGGTTATTTTGTAAATTTAACAGAGCAGGGACCTTTCTTCACGCCCGGGAATCCCTCCTCCTACATCTACTTTGTCTTTCCCTCTCCTGATCACAGCCACAGCCTGAACCCCCCTTCTCCCCAGGTGGGCAGAGCTGCCCCAGCCCTGCTGCTGGCTGCCGGATGGACAGACCGATGCACACCAGCTCCCAGGGTGATGGCACAACATGTGCCACCCAACCCCATCCTCCTGCCCAGGGGAGCTGAAGGGAGGCAGGTGGGCTCACCAGCTCCCTGCATCTGGCACAGGGATCCCACCTACACGCCGTGCTCCGAGCCATGGGGGAGGCAGCCCAAAGGCATCCCCCCTCCTTTCCCAATCTCTAAGGCTGGAGGAGAACATCTCTCCCACCAGCCCCAAGAGGGTTTGCAACAACCAGCCAAGGAGAGGGTTTGGGGATGATGAGACGGGTGATGGCTGCTGCTGGCCCACGGTGGAGGGTGATGGACAGCTGAGAGCAGCTCTGGCCACAGCCATCAGCCCTGCCACCCTGCCAGGTGAGCAGAGAAAGTGCAAAGCAAAGCGTTTTCGGTGCCAGCCGGCGGTCTCCATAAGCATCGTGCCCCCAAAAGCGAGGAGCCAGGTTTACCCGGGGGCTTCACGTGGAAGATGAGGGCCGTGTCGTTCGTCAGTGAACAGGGCTGCACCTCTCTGCTGCACAGCAGAGCCTGTGCAAGGGACTTGGAGATGGCGCAAGCGAGGTGCAGGATTTGGGAGGTGGTGATGGACAGGCCAGGACAGTAAGATGGAGCCAACAACCAACGCTCTCCCCTCGAGCTCTGCATCCCCTTCCAGCGTCCCCTGCCAACTGCTTCACCCCGACCCACCCACACCCTTCGTGGTTCTATTTATTTGGCTTGTTTAGTTTGTTTTTAAACCCCGTGGAGATCAAATTGTGACTTGGCAGCTAACAGAGCTGGCCCTACCGGGCTCCCCAGACTGAGCGAAGATCTTGAGAAGAGACCAGAGTGAAGTCCTGGGGTGAGCGAAGCCCTCCCTGCCCCTCGCCCGGCCCCGCTGGCCGCTCACAGGGTGGCGGTGGGGTACTGCGCCCAGCCCACCTCCTTGTACGCCGCCGTCACGTGGGTGTAGATGAGGGTCCTCATCTTGGTCCAGGCACTGTGCGCCTCCGGGGTGAAGTCGTTGGCGTATTCCTCAGCGATGACCTCCAGCATGACACCAGTGAGTTTCTGGAGGGAGGCAGGCAGCAAGGGGTTAATAATAACAGAATCACAGAATCTTCTAGGTTGGAAGGGACCTTAAAGATCATCTTGTCCAACCGTCAACCTCACTGACAAAAATAGACACCCACACAACAAACAAGGAGCATCATCACTAAACCATCCCTCCCAGCACTACATCAACCCGTCTTTTGAACACCTCCAGGGATGGTGCCTCAACCACCTCCCTGGGCAGCCCATTCCAATGCCTGATAACCCTTTCAGTGAAAAAATTTTTCCTAATATCCAGCCTGAACCTCCCCTGGCGCAACTTGAGGCCATTTCCTCTTGTCCTGTCGCCTGTGACTTGAGAAAAGAGACCGGCCCCCGCCTCTCTGCACCCTCCTTTCAGGTAGTTGTAGAGAGCAATAAGGTCTCCCCTCAGCCTCCTCTTCTCCAGGCTGAATAACCCCAGTTCCCTCAGCCTCTCCTCATAAGACTTATTAATCTCCAGAGATTGGCTAACAGCAAATTTAGCTTTTTCCTCAGAAACCACAATTTAATCCCATGGCTGAGTTCTGGGAATGACATCCCTCTGCAGGACAGACATTTAGGACGCCTGTCAATACCCCAGGGAACAGACAAGCCAGAGGAAGTTGGAACCCAGCATGATGGGGTTCAAGCATCTCTCCAGTTTGTGCACCTCACATTATTTAGTCCCTTCTATCATGCTTGATTTCTAAAAGAAGGGACACACAGCTGCAGCCGTGTCAGAGGGGCTGCGGGCAGGTGAGTTCCCCTGGGCAGGGCAGGATACTTGATGCTCCAGCGTTGGCTGCATTTGGGAACAGTGGTCTCCATGGGACAGCATTGCCTTGGGACACTCTGGCCACATGGGGAGCAACCCCCATGACCAGCCAACCTTCTGTGGCCAAGAACAGGCAGCACCCACTCCCCACACTCCCTCTCTCCTGCCCTCTTTCTCATTTCTACAGCATCCAGGAGAATTTTATTACTTTTTTTTGCTCCCATCCTTTACCTTAAAGTAGATGGGCTCCACTTTGTGCTTGAGGGCGTGGGCCTTGCCCACCAGGGCCAGGACAGAGGAGACCTTTTCGGAGTCATTGAGGTTCTCCACCACAGTGTTAATGGCAGTCATGACCCGTCGAGCGTGCTTACGCAGTTGCAAGCTCCTCTCCATCTCCAGCGGGTCCTCCATGTGCTTGAACTGGCTGAAGTACTGCTTGGCCGACGGGAAGTTGACAAAAAACCTTCAAGAAAGAATAGACACAAAATACCGTCAGGAGACTGAGAGTTTAGAGCAGAGCACGGAGTGATGAAGATGATGGAAACCAGCCCCCTTGAACCTAACACAGCCATGGCTGGTTTTCTCATTGAGTTCCCTGGGGTCTGTGGCATTCAGCAGCCTGAAAATCAGCAGGTTAATGCCTTCCCTACCTGCTGCTGGATATTCATCTACGAAACAGAGGCAAGACTGAGTTCTTGAGACTCCACCCCGGCATGCCAGACGCTGTACACATGCCCACATACATCAAAACACTGTGTCCTGTCTCAGAGAGCTGGAGATGAGCATGAAAACCCCTCTCTATCCCAGGCAGCCTCTCCCTGCCCTTCTTCCCCAGCCCTGTGGGCTTTATTCCTGCATTGCCACCCAAAAGAATCTCCCCCAGCCCAGGCTGCCCCTGACTTTTACAGATCAACCCTGACAGAATCTCCAGCAAGGTCTCAGCCCTGAGGTCATCTGTGCCAGGATCCATGTCCCCCAGCAGGAGGATGCCCCAAACACCCAGCCAGCCCCTCTGAGGGGCTGAGGACCCTCTTTTCTGCAGGATTAAATCAACCCAAATAAAACGCAGCTGAAGCAAATGAAGCTGTGGTGGCAGCTGATTTGCAGAGCTCTCTGGGGAGTGGGAGGGCTGGAGGGGGTTTGAAGGGCACAAGGTGATGAGATGCATGTCTGGGGCCACCGATACCAGCACCATCCCTGCCAGCACCAGAGCCAGTCACTCTCAGCAGCCGGGGCTCATACTCAAGCCATGTAAACCATCCCCTTCTACCCGATTTACTCAGAGAAAACCACGTCAGCATTCGCTCCCCGCTGTCCCTCCGAGGGGGCTCTCCCTGCCTCCTCTACTCCCTGCTGTCACCCAGGTCCCTCCCTCCGAGGGGGCTCTCCCTGCCTCCTCTAGGACTCCCCTTCACCTGAACTAGAGAAGGATGCTGTGGAGGTGGCAGACGGCTCCCAGGACTGTCCTCCATCATCCTGTGCTCCAGACAGACTGCCTCCTCCCCCCCAAACACCATCCCAAAGCATGTGAACCCATCCCACCCTTACCTCCCTCCAGGACCAGGTGAGATCCTCTTCCCCACTCACTACTCCACTAATAAGCCCAATATTGAGGACCAGGCTCATTTGCCACTTCATTATTCTCCTTTTTCCCCTCCCTTCCTTCCTTCCCCCGCTCCCTTGGCTTGTGAAACTCCGGGGCATTGCCAAGGAAGCGGCGTGAAGCAGCGCCTGGAGTGCACCACCGCTTCTGTCGCTTCCCCGAGGCATCTGGGATTCATCAGACATCCCGAAATAGGTTTCGGAGGTGTGAAGAGTGTGCAGCGGAAAGGGTGGAGGAGGAAGGAAGGTGGAGACAAGGTGTTGCTTTTGAAACCTGGAGGGGGACCCGTGACAAAACTCCTCTTGTTATTGTGCCGCCTCCCTCCCCACCCCCCCCAGCAAAGCTCCTCCTGACACATCTGGTCCCTGTCAGAAGAAATAATTTCCAGGCCCATCTGTCTCCAGCGATGCCCAGTCCATACCCTTCAGCTCGGAGCTGTCGGAGAGGTGGTTGGGGATGGACACCAGTCCCCTGGCTAGGGATGGAGCCAGCTGGGGCCACACACACAGCACCGTTCCCAGGATTAAAGACTTCTGCCCCAAGCACTTCCCAACAGAAGGAGAAACGTTCCTCTGTGTTCTAACGGGACTGTTGTTTCCATCTGGCCCCAACATCCTTCTCCCCCTGTCCCATCCCTCTCCACCTCTGGGTAAGTTACTGCAATCCCTGATCCTGCAGCCCCAGCAGCTTCCAGGTATTGACACTGAACACCCCAGCCCAGGGTTTTGCCATCCCTGTTGGTGGATCTTTTCTCCTTCATCCCCCTGCTCTGGCAGGCATCCCCCCGGGCGCTGGGAGTAGGGGATGCTGCTGAAAGTGGGACCTGCTGCCCACAGACCCCAGTGCAGGGGATGGAGGCTGTCAGCCGGTCAGAGCGTGCCAAGCCCCTGAATCCCAAACCATCAGAAGTTCCCTGAAAAGCCTTCTCTGATCTCAGCTCAAGGCCATGTTGCTGTGAAGACCCAGGGAACGAGCTGAGAAAAATTCCTAGTCGGAGCCAGGCTCTTCCAGCAGAATGGGTACAGCAAAGGGGGACCGACCCCCAAATTCCCAGGAATCGCAGCATCCCACACACACACAAGAAAAGGACCAAAAGGAGCCACTGGGGCTGATGCCCTTCAGGAGCAGCAGAAGCTTCACACCTCTCCCGTGGCATCACCTCCACCTCTCTGCTGCTTTCAGCTGGCTATGCCAGGAGCAAAGATTGATTAAACCCCCCAAAAAATCTCCAACCTGGGTGAGACCAGGCCAGTGAAGGATCCAAATCCTTGGTTTCTAACTTCTCCCCCCTTGGCAGACCCTCAAGGTGATGTCCCCGTGGGAGAGGAGCCCAGCAGCTTTCCTAAGGGACCTGCAAGAGGGACAGCAGTGGTCGCTGGAGGGATGTAAAACCAGCAAAACCCTGGCTCACGTGCTCAACCCCATGAGCTCCTTGCTTTCATCGACGGAGAACTGAAAAAGGAGAGCCCAAACCACCTCTGCTTCAAGTTGAAAAGCAAATCCGTGGCCAGTCAGAGACCTGCAGCCACCTCTCCTTGGCCAGTGCCTCTCCAAGGGCTGAACAGCAGGTGTCTGCAGCAAGAACTTCTGGCCTGGAGCAAATATTTGAGCTGTTGAACCAAGGAAAAGAGAGAAAGACGCTCGCTCTGCGGCGATTGTGAATAAACAGAGAAGATTGATTTAATACAAAGGTTAAATATAACCAGAGGAAAGGAGGAACAAAAGAAAAAAAAAAGAGGAAGAAATAAAATAACTCAAACAATAGCGAATTAGAAGAGGTGTCAGTTGGGGTTTTTCCATCTACAGAACATTTTTTGAGAGTTCAAACATCTCAGGCTCTGGAATTTTGTTGGCTCATTATGCGTGTGCGCTTTGCGCTCTTTTTCTTCATCAGAGTCATTAAAAAGATGATATTTACCATTGCATATCACAAAAAATGATGATGGATAGAAACCAGATGCCTGCATACCGATCTCATTAAATTTCTTTTTAAGCGATTCCATTCTGCACCCGCTAATTTGTACTCTGCGAGCTACATCTGGACCCAACTGACAGGATGTCAGGATTGCTTTTCCTCTCTCTTTTGCCCTTTTAACAACTTTAAGGACACAACCGTTCCCAGTAGCAGAGCCAAAGGAAATAATTAAGGTGCAAAACCACTGCGGTCACCGGGAACCTGTTTTCTGTTCAGGAGGAGAGATGCTACTTCTCCTCCCATCTCCCCAGACCCAGCAGAGCAAGCCCCACACAGAAGAAACCTTCAATCCCAGCCATCCCCTTCCTTTCCCACCTGGAAAAAGAATGAAAGGTGCTTTTTTGGTCTCCCTGAGCACCAAAACTCTCGATGCTTCACTTTCCCTGTTGGCAAATTGTGGGGAAAAAATACCAGCAAGCCCTCAAAGCTGCTGTGGGGCTTCACCTGAACCCCCAACCAGCACTTGTAAACTTTTTTTTTTGCTAGATTTTCCTACCAATGCTCTCATGCTTTCTCTCACCTCATCTCTCTATGTGGGAGAAACACAGCCTGGAGTCTCTCCGTGTCCCTTTTCAAACCTCTCCTCCCAGCTCCTTTCTGCTCGGGTGCCTACAGAGCAGCTGATAATGGGTAGGCAGGTGGTGTGTGGTGCTGCTATTTATTATGCCGAGGGTTGTCTCACCGCTTTGCCTGCACCTTCCCCCTGCTCCCCCTGGCCACCTGTAGCCCATCACCTTATTTTCAGGCTGGGGCAGGGGTGCTGGGTGCTGCCTGTGTTCACAGCTCCCAGCCCAAGGGGAGGAAGGTCTGGGCCATGTCAACGCCACCACCCAGCGAGACAGAAAGGCAAATCTAACTGGAGTGAGAAGAGGATGGTGTGCCCACAGCACAGCTCTGCCCAGGTCCTCTCTCATGGACTGGTGGAGATGGTGGTGGGCAGCATCTCCAGCTCCGGTGTGGGAAGGCTGGAGGGAAAAGGGCCAAGCCCCCCGTTCACACACTGATGCTAAATTCAACTCCTTCTACAGCTGAGGGAGAAGAGGTGTAGCTGGCCTTCCTCCAGGTGAAGCCCACATCCTGCTGCAAACCCTCGGGAGCAGACTCCAGCGCGACGCTGAGCGGTGCTGGGAGGCTGTGACGCCCCAGGCACCGCAGAGCCCCGGGGCAGAGGGATCAGGACACCCCAGTGAGGTCGGGAGGGGGACCAGCAGCAAAGATGCAGCCAAATATATTTGGGCACAAGCTAGCAATGCCCGGGGGCACGTTCTGCTCACTCGTGTGTGCACAGCTCACACCTCCGAGTCCTCATGGCTGTTGTCTTCCCCTACTGTGGATGTGGATTCAGCCCAAAGCCTCTTGGCCACGTAGGTGAACCTTTAGGCTGTGGGTAAGGACAGCTTTCACCAGATAAATGAAATAACAGCTCAAAGTGACTTTCCCACACCCCTCTGGTTTCCTATGGCCCTTGCAATCCCTTTCGCTCCGTGCCTTCATCCACAGCATCATCCTCCACATGTGTGTCCCTGCCCCTCTCTGCTGCCAAACTGCTGTCCCTGCTTGTGTCCCTGTGCCCTGGGTGCAAGCAGCACATGGGGACAGCCGTGTTAGGCCCTGCCACCCCGCCACCAGCATCTTCCCCTGGCTGGGCACCCTCCCTACAGCTCTGCTGAGTGGGCTCAGCGTGGCCCAGCAGGGGCCATGGGCATCAGGAGAGGATGCTATAACATGAGACTCGCCTCTGAGGCAGACGCAGGCTGAGGATGGAGCTTGCTGGAGCCCAGCTGTGTGTCCGCAACCCCCAGGGACAGCAGAGGCATTTGGAGGTGGAAGACAACCCCGAACCAGGTGGAGATCACAGAATCTTCATGGGTGGAAGGGACCTTTG